TCGGAGTTTATGCGTTTATGTGATTCGTATGGACTTAATTCGCCTCACTATCGCTCGGCGTTTAATCGTCATACTCCGTCACTTAAACTCCTAATAAAATACGTATCTATTATTTTTCCTAATATAGGCTATAACGTTTAAAATTATTAACGTATTGTTTTGATCTTCATTTTTGATATTTGTATTCTCCTTTGTTAGTGGCAGATTATGAAAAGAATAGCCCTTTTATTTAATGTCTACTTGAAAACGTCTTTTACTGACCAGAACTTATTTTTATTAATCATTTGTAGTTATGGTAGTATGTAAACAAAGTTTACTTATATGTTTAATCAATAATCAGGCCTGCCTGCATGTAATTCATCACTCAATTTGATACCATTGGAAACGGTTCGTTCAACCAGCAAGTGACTAACAAAAGCTGTTATTTGTAACTGTTACATTGGTGTCCTTGTCCAGCTAAGTAGCAGTTTTTGCCATCACCGTAAAACACAGTATTCCATTTACAGAAATGAGAAAACTGACAGTTTGCAAATTTAAGTACCCTCTATAAATAAGTCGAAACGCTCTTCAGTTTTTTAGATTTGCGGAGGTACTAAAATTTTAAGTAAGATTCTCGATTTTCATCTATAAATGTGGCGCAGTTGAGAATTTTTAAATTTGCATGATCGTTTTTTTTTACATAAAAATGTGGATATGTTTAAAAAATGCTGGTTAAAAAACCATTGTATTTGACCTTATTTTTCAGGTGCAATCTAAATGTGTACAAATACTTCGGTCCTACTTCCGGTTTCACCTAATTCTAAATAATGCCAACGTGCAGGGATGTAAAAATGCTACCTGCCTTAATCGCATCTCGGGAGGGGTACATAATATAAACCTCATTACAAACCAACTTTTCAAATAATGGCAGCAAACATCAAAGTCTAGTTTATTCTCACCACCTTGGCGTCTATGTACTATTTTAATAATTCAAGGGGAATGTGTAGTTTTCCGGGGCTAGGTCGTTGGGTCACGCTGTATATATTAACTTTATTCCTTAAATTAAATTTGAATTTCCTATAAAATTTAAGCAAAAGCGTGCGTCTTTTAATTTGCTTTTGATGAAAGTTTCTACAAAATTGAACGTTATATCCGAGTCTGAACCTTATTTCACGACTGACAGAATTAGAAGCTGTGATTCTCTTTTTAAATTAGGAGTGCTGCACGTGCCGGGCCTCTGTTTTATGAAAAATTCAATAAAATGCCGATGTCGTCAATACATAGAACCCGGAAGTTTCGGTTTGCGTTTAACGGCTGTTGAAAGTGGAAGAAAGCAATTTGTCATTCGTAAGTTCGGACGTTTATTGTTTCAGATTTAGCTGAAGAATGATTTCAGTTAGTGGTAGCCAGTTACTGATTCTTTTTTCTAATTAATATGATGTATTAGGTAATTATATTAATTTTTTTTGAGCAGTAGTGTGGTCGTAATTCCCACTAAGAGAAACACTAATTTTATTATTGTGTTTTTTTTAGTTTACAAAAAAATCGTGTGATTTAAATACTTAATTAATTATAATGTGCGTATGAATTTTAAAATTGTAGCTATAAAAGATCGTCTTGTGCTGTATGTTTTAAATTAGGTTTTTTATTAAAATTTTTTAGTGACCTCATCAAATTTTTAATGGAGACAAATACTTATAGTAATTTTGATACGTACATAGTGTAATTTTAATAATAAGAGGACGGTGTTTTCAAAACTCTGTAATGTATGTTCTAAGATAAATAGCATAATTTAATGTTAAAAGTATGTGTATTTGTACATTATGTATATGCATAAATCATATATGTATAGTGTATTATAATATATAATACTTTGAATTGAAAGAGATTTACAGAAAAAAAAAAAAAATAGGTGGCGATGAACAGATAAATTTTGGATAGCATTTTATCATCTAGGAGTACTTTATATTTTTAAGAAATGTTTAAAATTTCGCAATAGTCAGTCAGTCCAGTAATTTTATAAAATCGCCAGTAGATGACGGACATACGGAAACCGGAGATCGACATTTTCGTATTCTAAAAGTTGTGAACTGTCCAGAAAACATTCGTCAAAATGGTCCTATTACAGTACTTCAAAAGCTTGCACTTTTTTATTTTTATTACATGATACAAATTAATACAATATACAAAACCATGTTTCTTTGAAAAATTATAAAATTTGATTTTGCGAAATTTTACTTTTTTTGAGATAACCATTATAGTACAGTAAAAATAATATAGAATACTAGTCACAGTGTAAGGGAAAAAAGAAAGGGCCACGTTGGGATCGAAAGCGAAACCATTTTCGCGTTGCCACTCCGAATGTGGGCGCCTAACCGCTTTATGTTTTGTGATTTTTTTGCTAAAATTTGAATACCTAGAGGAAACACTCAAAGTGGATTCATACATCCCAAGTGCCGGAGTATATTGCTGTAAGACATTAAAATAATTTTAATCTAGAAACTTTTGAGATGACGTCATCAAATTGTTAGTAGGGTGATTAGCAAATTTTGGTTACATACAAAATTTGACAATAATCGGTCCAATAGTTTTGGAGATTCTCTGTCTAATAAAATTGACAGACGATCGACAGACAACAGACGAAGCGGGATACTAATTTTTTGGTATTTTGGGGGTCGTGAGACATTGAGAAAATATGAAAGCTTAATTTACACTCTGGAAGTTAAAAGACCACATACATTTTTTGTTTTTGCAGTTTAGATATAAAACATTGGTTTTAAGGTTACTGCATTATTTTTTGGTATACAAACTTGGGGTTACAGGTTTATATTTTAAAAAATGTCACATATTTTATCATATTTATTATTTTATCACTAAACAGGTACAAAAGCGAAAACGGTTGGACAAATGTTTGAGACGACCAAGAAAAGACGTCAATAGAAGCCTGTTCTCAAGTGAGATAACAACCAACGAAGAAGCTTTAAAAAAGAATACCATGACACTCAGAGAAACTAGGCCAAAAAGTTCAAAACAAGCCAGCAGTGATGAAAGCAGTGAATCTGAGGCGTATCGCGAATATGAAGACGATATTGAAAAGGACATTGACGAAGATATCTGCATAATATGTGGTGAATTCGGTAAAAACAATGAAGTTTGGTGGCGTTGTGTTGTATGTGGTAAATGGGCCCGCAAAACTTGTACCGAGTCAAACAAATTTCATTTGTGATTTTTGTAATTAATCCGATTGGGTTAATAGCGGCCGGCGGTCATCATTACCTTAAGGGTAAAGTGTAATGATGGCCACAAAGAAGATTTTTTTGAGTTATGCCATTTAAAAAATATGTTTTCTTGAATGTTCATATTTTGAATATATATTTAGATACCTTTGTTTTAATAAATAAATCATCTCCTTATAGTTTATTTCTCTTTGTTTCAATAAAATCTAGCAAAATCCTTAGGCGGCTACCATTCGACAAACTCCCCCTAACATCTGACATTATTTGTCACAGAACATCATATTGTTTAGCAATTTACGATGTTTATAATAACATTAATAAATGGTTTGCAAGATTTCAGTGTTGTCGGTTTTGTATTTTCTAAAATAAATTTTTAAATTTTCAGGCAAATTTTGTTTCCTAAAAATTTAAATATTTGCTGTAAAAATAAAAGCTAATTAATAAACCGCAAATAGAGAAGCATTTTATTTTTGAAATTTAAGTAGGCTTTATCTAGCAAAGTCCTTAGATGACGTCATCAAATTGTTACTAGAGACGAGCAAACAAATTTTGGTTAGGGGTTTACTATCTACATGATAGTACATTGAAAACTCCACAGTATTTCGGAATAAAACCGGCACCAGGCAGAAAAATAAATTGATGACAGATAAATGGAAGCGGGAGATCTACATTTTTATATTATACCAGCTTACGCTTGGGAAGTACCTACAATGAGTACATATATTAGTTTTTGATAGATCCGTGTAAGTCTTTTTGTTTTTGTTTGGATAAAAGTAAAAATTATAAAAATTTAAGTTTTAGATAAAAAAGAATTAACAATAAATGAGTGTAAAAAGCAACCACAGAATAATATAAACAATTAGGAATGAGCTTATTCGATGTATTTTTACGGAGAACGAGAAAATAGTACCTGGAATTAAAATGTATATATTGTAATTGAAGTATGTAAAAGAAGGAATTCTCTGCAGAGTCTAAAATATTCACGAGAAATCAAATTAGACAAAAGCGTAAAATTATATTTTACGTACAAATTCAGTACGTGAGTGAGTGAAATACGAAATGTGCGAAATATATCTGCAGTTCAAACGTTAGTGCAAATATGATGATACATGTAAGTATATTTGTAATATTTTTTAGTGAATGCAAAGTGTATGTAGTGAATGTCAGGCAGAAAAAGCTCAAATAGTCTGTAATACTTGATTAAAATTTCTTCTTTATTTTATTTAACACAGATCTGAGTTAAACCCAGATAATATGAAAATACAAATGTGTATCCCCGATGAATAGCTAAACAAAGCTCGTTATACATTTCAGACATAACGAATACGCTTCAAACACGCACCGCAATAAGTTACGTTTTGTGAAAAAAATAAATTACCGCTTTGTGTTCAGATCTACCATATCGTCAGTGACAAGTTGCCTAAAGCTCATACAACTGTAAACTTAAAAGAAAAAGGACCCTCTAACTTTATATAACACTCAACGATTAAATTTATAACTTCAATAAAACCGGTTCTTTTATCAGTTTATTCCAATCTTTCAGTTGCATTTTTACAATTAGCAAAAATCCCTCTTTTCTGCATTTGTGTCAAATCAAATTTTTTCGGTATCGACGAAGTGTCTACGTAGCGAATTCCATATATTGCGAGGGACTGTCAAAATGAGATTCAAATGATATTTTATCTGCAATCAATACTCGCGAGATTGACACTTGTGTGGTGGTTTAACGGTCTGAAATGCGTATCTACACCACTTAACACACAATAAAAAAATGAGAATACTGACCTAGTTGCAGAGAGCTGCCTTCAGGAAAAATTAAGTATCGTCTTTTCCGTGACAAAGTTTTGCCGGTGTCGTTGATTCGTGCCGATATATCATTCTCTAAACTTTGCAGGGTTGTTCTTATCATTAAAACTGCGAAGAAAAGCGAAAATAGGGCGACTTTTGCGAACATGGTTAGTGTGACTACTATTCGCACGCTTTACTAAAATTGGTCTTGATAAGGCGTTAATTGTTTCAACGGTTTGTTTCATAGTTGAACGGTACTTTAGTAGTTAAATATTTAACCTCGTCGTGATTAAATTATCACAAGTAGCCTAATTTCAGATTTTATTGACCGCAGTTTGCCCAAGTTTTCCAACTTGTTCATAGAGGATGGAGATCCCCTTATATCTCATTGGAGTTTTTATGTTGTTTGTTCCTGAAATAAATTCGGGTGGATCTAGAAATGACAACGTTATTCTTTCGCGTCGTAAAAGATATGTAGCTTTCCCAGACGGATCTACTCTGATCGTAAGTTTTTTCTCCCTTTTTTTTTTCACCTCAAAATTGCAGTATTTTTAGTGGGCGTTTTGCATGACGGCTCAAACTATCCTTCCAATGGGAATTTTTACAGAGGGGGTGAATTGGGGTGTTGCTTATGATTTGCCCAACAGGACCACGTTTAGAGAGTATTTTGAGGATAAGTCTAATTACATTCTAAGAAGAAGACACCGTAGGGATTTGTACAGTAAGGCGGAAGTTATCATGGATTCGTAAGTGCTTAGTATACATCCATTCGAGGTTTAAGTCCTTTAGGGAGGGTCTGAATTGTTAGAACGCGGCCAGAGCTGCGCTGCCAACTTTTACATCATTTTACATGTGAATAATGCTGCCGGTTTGCGAGTTTGCGATTTGTTTTATTTATTTCGAAAGTTTGTTTTAGTTGTGTATTCGAAACCGCGGTGTTTGTGAACCGGGTCTGGAATTAATAACCTCATGATAGAATTGAGAATATTTTAAAATTAAAAATTGTTGTGTTAGTTGTTCCTTGGAACTAAGTTGTTTTTATACATACATTTTTATCCTTCATTAGGCCAATTTCGTATTGTAATAATTTTTTAAATGTAATTTTTTATGTAGGTATATGATGATAATTGCGAAACGGACCTCTAAGTTATATAAAGTATTAGTAGAAACCCAAAAGAGTAAAATATTTTCAATAAAATAGTGTACCACATTTCAGAAGTTCCTTAACACTAGAACTACCGGAGAGGTCAAATTGACGGTTTCTATATTTCAATGATACATAATTTTTGAAAGAGTAGCACAATAAGGCTGCTACTCCATGACTTTTCCTAAAATATACTTGAAAATATCTAGGTAAATTTTCATTGAAGTCCAGAAGGTTGTGTAGGTAAAGTTACAGTAAATTTGCATAATTACTTCTAAGAAGTAATTCTTAGAAGTAATTTAAATTAGCAACGACTTCACAATTGGATGAGGATTTTATGCTTACCATTTCATAGAAATATACAGAAGTAACTAGCAAAAAAAAAACATCGGCAAGACGTCATTCTGAAATTGGCAGTAGAAGTAAAAAGTTCCTACATTTTCCAAAAGAAACCAACAATTACACCTAACACAGTAGTTGATAATAAAACGCAACGTAAACGGCGACAAAGTCAGATTGATAAAAGTAAAAAGAACAAAACAAACGAAGAATACCTAAAAACAAAAATGTGGCCTTGTACAAAAAAATTAGAAAATTGAGCAATTGTGTAAATTGTGCTAACAATAGCTGAAGGAAGAGTTATTATGGTTTTTCTTTTGTTTAAAAATTTGTCTATTTTACAGGAATACATCTTTTTAAAGAGGGTTATATTATCTAAAATTGATTTGCTTGAAAACTGGTTGCCGTCAAATTGACCGATTCGGTGCTCCTAAGTAGATAAAAATGCTGGTATTTTAGTGTTAAAAAATTGTTGATCGTAAGAAAATATACCAAGTACATTTTAACCTTAAATATTTTTTCACAATATTGATTTTCATATTTGCCTTGGCAGTTGTTGTGTGCTGTGTTTTCTAAGTAAAACTCGTAAGCCTCGCAGAAGTTGATTTTTCTAGACGGATGTATTTTTACCGACGTAAATTGTAGTAGTTTCTGGAGATTTCTTTTCTTTTACTAAAATTTATTAATACGTTTTGGTTTAAGTACACGAAATTATTCTTAAAATCTGTTAGGTAGACTAAAAACTTAATACAATTTAAGATGTACCAAATATACAACATTAATAATTTTGTAAAATTTTTTCGTTGTTGAAGTCCCGATTATAAGGAAACAGATGCAGCCTGCGTATTTATAGAATTGAAGGGAAAAATAAGTGTGGACTATTTATTAAATTACTATAGAAAAAGAAGCATCTTATCAGTATATTTCAAGATCATTTTTCTAAAAACAACTTGTAAAGACATGATCAACTTCGATGACTTCATTGTCGTCCATTAGGGACTGTAGTTCTGGAAGTTCAGGAAAACGAGATAAATTTTTTGACTTCATCAGTAAAATATATAATAAATTACATCAATTACTAATTTTTGAGATATCGTGTATAAGCAAATTTTAGATAAGTTTCATGTAATGCAGTTTTGAGATGATGTCATCAAGTTTTAAGGCAAAAGATAAACAGATACATTTTAACTAAATAAATAAAAAATAAATTTTAAAATATTTACAAGATTACAGAATAGTCAGTTGTTTGATTTCTAAGTTATATTGTAAAATATTGATGTAAAATTTTGACTTTTCACAGACAACATAGAGATGGTAAATGGCAAACAACAGACGGAAACGGAAGACCAATTTTTTTTGTATCCTAGAAACTCCTCTGCATTTATGAAACGTTGAAAAACATGAAATTAGCAATTAGACAAATATTTACCCTAACTTGCGCTCGGAAAGTATAAAAGAAGACCATAGTTAACGTTAAAGGGTCATCTAAAAAGCAAACATAAATATATAACATAAAAGAGAATGAAATTTTTGCATTCATAAATTACTTATTGATTAAATGAATGATTAAGGTCAATTAACTACCGTGACATATGGTTATTAACATCCTAAGCTGTTTTAAGTCTACGCCGATCAATGTAAGAAGTATTTTTACATTTCCTATGAGTCTCATGACAGAAAACTGTTCTCTATATTTTAATACTTTTCGAAATATTAGACGTTTAGGAGCAGTTCGTACTGTAACCTAATTGAAGCATTAAAACTTTATCTTGAGAATTTAATTTGTTGTATTTAATTACACTAATTACACACTAAAGTCAACAATTGTATTTAAACCATGTTTTAATGTTCCATTTTGGCCAAGTATCTGTAGCAATCATTTATTGGTGTTTTAAGAAAAAGAAAAAAAATAATACTAAACCACCGTAATACAATTTGTGATTCCTGAGAAAATACTTGATTTGATAACTTGTTAATTATTAAATGACTAAAGGTATACGTTTTTAACCAGTAAAAATTAACTATTTTCCATCATACAGAATATTCTATTTTTGTGAAACAACATACTTTAATAAAGTCCCACAATATTTTTACATATTCTAATTCTTCTCTTCTTAGATTTTACAAGCTTACTTAATTTTAGAAAAGTTCCGTTTCGATGTTCCCAATTATTTCAATTTTTTTAACAATAGTTTTTACAAGCTTGTTTCTTTTAGCAATGCTTAGAAAAATAACAACAGGGTAATTTTTAATGTTTGTGATACAATATTTTATGATTTTTACTATGAGTCTTTTTCTAGGGGATTATGCTCACAAATTATTGATTATAATGGTATTTGCTTTAATTAAATGTAACTGGTCCCCGCTCCACTACAATAATTATTGTTTTAGTTTTTGTAACACCTCCGGCTTATTTTCCGTTTCACCTCAAGTGATAATAATTTTTCTCTAAAATGGTCACTTTAGAGTGTTTTCACTGTACAATCGATGCCATCAAAACAATTCATTTATTTACACGTGCCAGTTTATTACAGTTAAGGTTAATTACAATTTTAATTTAAACGGTTCATTATCGACAATCTTAGTGAAACATACATTTTTTACTTATCACCTTTTATTTTTGAAGAATAAATTCAACTTTTGTGAGGGACACACTTTATTTTTATTTCTTTGAAATGTTAAAAAATCCCTTCTAATTGAATCACAATTTATTTCGATTAAAATATACAGTCTACACAGGCCGCAAGGCGAAAAATGAGAAACGTAGGTATACAATTTTTCATTGTTTTTTTTCTTTAAATAAACGTGCATAACATTTAAAATGTCTGAAATTTGGTAGAATATTTTTATAATTCATAATTTTGGAAGTAATTATTCAAAATACAGTTTCTGAAACAGTGACGACCAAATTTTAAAATTTTTGAAAGTATTGCAAAGTTCGAGATGTTTTTTGCACAGTATGCGCAATTTAAAAATGTGGAATTTTTAGTGTTTAGCAGTCTAGAGATAAGCAGTAATAATGTGGTGTTTATTTATTTATTATTTGTTTTTCGAATTTTCAAGAATTTTAATATACTCACATTCAGCTATATTGTAACGTAATTGTTCGTTAATCTGATACCAAGTCTTCATATTCTCAAATGTTCCAACTCTTCTTCACCTTGTTAAGATAGTTTTGATTTTATGGACAATTATGTCATTTCAGTAAATCGATAAAATGTAGGCTCCACATTATGACATATGTACTGTTCTCGTTATTTAATTTTAAGTAACGTGGAGACAGACGTCGATTCCTATCCTAAATTTCTACAATCTCTACTTCGTGTAACTGGATCCACATACATCTTTATTTAATTTCATGTTTGACATGATAATGTGACATGAACTTTCTTCTGTCTCCAATTAATAATATATTACGAGTTAAATTGAATTTTTCTGGGCACGTACAAATATAGATTTCAGCTTAAAGTACAGAAAATTTTCTACTTTATTTACGACCCACGTAAGGAAAACGCTCGTGGATGAATGCGTTAAGGGTATCGTAAAAGTAATGGCGAAGCTGTCCCTGTATAACTAAATTAAAGTTAAAACGTAAAAATAAACAAAACTTATTGTGTTTCTAAGGAAATTCGTCGTAATAGAGATTTATTTGTCACAAAACAACAACTAAATGCAATCAATACTTCGAAATTGTTTATTTTTTATTCCCAAATTTTCATTATTTCATTGTTAAAGCTTTTATCAGTACAAATCATCTTTCAGAATGGGTTTTGATGGCAGAAGTTGTATCTATAGAGCTTTATGCGAAGCATCTCGTTTGCGTCGTAAAAGTCCCACTTTATCAGAAGAACTGATCCGCCTTGTCTTCAAGTAAGTTATTTAGTGTTGGCTTGTCGAGATTGAAAGTCGTTGCAAACGATTTCCCCTTTAACGGAGGAGATAATTAATCTGTATTGATTGATAGGTTTCCGGGACAGAGCATATCGCTATTCGAGCCTGAAGAGCATCGCTTATATCATTCAGCGTATCGACGAGGACGAGAAAACAAGCAACAGGATTGTGCCAGGATGTTCCCGGCATGTTCAATCTCGCTCATAGATCTAGCTTTAGGATATTACAACGATTACGCAGAGGAACCTCATTATCAAGTATCAAGATCCAATTTATGACGGAAATTGATGCAAAAAAAATTCTAAAGAAAACAGTTTTATAATTTTGTTTCAATAAAAATTTGATGCTGTACACCAAATCTGTTTGAATATTCAACCCTGTTTATGCAACTGTACTTCTGAATCTACCTTTTTCTCTAAGACGTATCTCGCTTTTGCTCACAATTACATTTTGTCAACAAGACAACATTTTATTTTCTCATTATATATCCGTAACTGTTTTCACAGTTACGTTTCAATTAACAACCGCGCACCAAGGAAATGTATTTTCGAACATTATGATTTATGGTTGTTGACGGTTCGAGATGGTGATTACTCGAATCATATTTCTTTCTATCACGATTATGGTATCTATAAATAGTGCTGCTAATGATAAGATTTTGTCCCGTAAAAAAAGATATCTTGTTTTCCCAGAGGGATCGAGTTTATCTGTAAGTATTTATGGTTTTAAATTTGAAAATTCAAGAGGACAAATTCAAACCAGAATTTGTATGCTTTTTTTAGGAGTAATTATTCAATGGTGTACGAATCTGTTTTAATTTTAGATTCTTTGGTTAACTTATCTTGTTACATTAACCCAATTTAATTTTCAGATAGCAATATGCATGACTGCTCAAATGGGGATAACGCCAGGTGAAATATTCACGGAAGGCATAAACTGGGGCATTTCGTATGAGCTTCCGAACGACACGAAAACGTTTAAAGAGTTTCTAGATAAACCGAAAGAAGTCGTACAGAGGCGGCATAGGAGAGATCTTTACGATAAAATTGAAAATATCATTAAATCGTAAGTTAATGCCATAAAAGTTATCATTGGAGTTCAGTTCTGTAATTCCTATATAAAAATAGTAATTAAAACAGTATTATTAGTAAATGGTTGACCGTAAATTATGAATTTTCTAAAGACTTTCTTTCTTATTATTATGTTTTTTTGTTCCACTCAAAAGTCCGACATAAATTGCATTAATACTCAGTGGCGGCTCGTGACCCTTTGAAGTAGGGGACACAATTTGATTGATGAGTTAAATACGAAGATATAAAACAGGCTGTTATTACCAATTAATAGACAAAATTGTGTGACGGAAATAAATACAAAAATACATTAAAGAAAAGTAAAAAAGTACTTGTCCACATACCTTTGGTTTTAAATCATTACTGAGAAGACGCACAAAACAAAATAATTTATTATTTTTTTCACAACCGCACATCCATAAAAGTTTATCATGCTTGTTATGTCTATTAAAATATCTATCAAAGTTTCTTGTTTTGCCATGAACACTTTTTTTTATTAATAAATCGGGGGTGGCCGTTCCTAAATTTTTTACTAAAATGTTACTGTCGTAAGACAGAACGATTTTTAATTAAATATGCAACTGAATTAATTATTTCTATTTAAAATCAAACAATTTCACTCGCTCAGAATGAAAATGAAATCCCGCAACTGATGGGAGTTACTAGTAGTGGTCACTGTTCGAGCAGGACCCGATTCCAGCTGAATACAGCGACTAAACGCTTGGTTTCCATGGCAACGGTGTAAACAAAACGTCTAAATGAGGCATGATTTGGTCTCCGCTTTTATCAGCACTTCAGCAACGTATCATATATCCAAGACAGAACATCTTTAGAAGTTTTGTTACATTTTATACAAATGGAGCAAGATAAAAAAATAGTTTTGATAATTATGACATAAATTTCCGGATAATTGTTTATAGACGTTGTAATTTTGGGGGCGCACGTGCTCTGGCTTAATAAAGTCATTAAACTATGAATGAAATGTAATATTTTATTTTCAAACGATTATTTTCTGCCTTCTTGTTCATTAAAAAATGCTTTGCATTGACTTACCACGGTTACTATGCTTGACAACCTCAATGATTTCTACATGAACGTATTCTTTTTATACTCGGGCATAATAGTATAATGCAGTTTATATAAATGATTATTGGGTCGAAAGAGGTCATGGAAGCGTGCTGCCTATCACTTTATATAGACTTTACTAAATGCCCAAAGACTCACTACATATACCACACGCATCTATACAACTAGTTGCCTAAATACTTCATGTCTAATTAAAAAACCATTGTTCAGTTTTCTGTTGCAACAGGAACTCCTGCCAGCTGAAACGATTTTGTCAAAGATGTTTGTGAATTCAGCTAGAGTCGTCTCAAATCATCAACAACTTTCTCAGATACTGAAGGTCTTCCAGTAGATTTCCTTTTGTTGAGAGTGCTAGTTCGACCAAATCTGTTGATTATATCTCTAATGTGAGTTTTTAACGATGTTTCTTGATTTTGCAAATCAAGGTTTTTGTCCAGATATTCTTGCTTTCAAGTGGTTAGAGAATACACCCACCCTCTGTTTACGAATGTCCGATTGCGATAATAAGACATAACAATGAATGTGTCTTGTTCCAACGGTGTTCGCTTCCTGGCAAAAAAAAAACAAATTTTCGTATGCAAGCACCAAGAGTTTTGAAAACGGCTGTTTTGTTATTTTGCGCTTGGATCAACGAGAATTACTGTAATTCACACTTGAAAAACACCAGAACAATAAAAGAGATGACTTTAAATGACAGGTTACAAATAACATCAATGACAAGTGAGAACTATTATAATGAGTTATAATTTCAGCGAAGCGGGATTTTTTAAATCCACGGCGAACTACGCCCTTAGGATTCATAAAAACCCTAGGTATATATGTATAGTCCGGCGGAGAATAAGGCGTACTTATACGCCGCTCAAACACGCTGTCAAAAAAATTGGTCTAAAGAGTTTAGACACAACTCTCCTGGCTGTCGGAAACGTGACGACTGCATGCCTATTATGTTTTTTTTTATTACATCTTTGTGACGGGGCATTTAAAAAAAAATGTGATGACGTCATTAACATTTTTGCAAGGACACGTATATCAGTTTGGATAGATGTAGTGTAATGCTAAAAATAAAAGTACTGTATTCCCAAATTTTCGGGAAAATGAATTGGGTCGTCTTGAATATTGATTTATAATCAATAAAATAACGAAACAGTTTACTCACGTATGCCGCGTGTATTCGCAGAAGCGACATGTATAAGTATTCTTAATTTAAGACAACAAGCGGTAACACTTGTTGAAACTATATACGTGAGAGTGTAACAGAGAAATTGCAAACAATACCGATGGTCATCCAGACTTTTTTATTGGTTCGACTTCCGCTTATTATATAAGACATTGAATTTTATTTTATTTGATGGTGTAATTCACAATTGGTTGATTATAACTTGTCCATACCACGTTTGTAATGTTAAAGCAAACTTATAAATAAGCATGCTACGCCTATGTTTCAAAGGAGTCTTTACTTTACAAAATTTTGCGTCTATCAAATTAGGTTGGTGCAATGTAATACTAATAATAACAGTGTTGTATCTCCAAATTTTCGGGAAAATGGAGTGAGCTATTCCTGATTTAATAAATAAAATAAATTGACCCATTCATCAATTTTTTTGAGCCATCTGTTAAGCAAATCTAAAAAATTTGAATGGAATGATAAATTACAAGTACAGACTCATCATATTTTGTACATTTTAGATAAGACTTATTCAGCAAAATTTTGGGGTGACGTCATCAATTTTTTAGGGGGGATGAGCAAATACATTTTGATTAAAAATTTATCATGCTTATGATAATTTTAAAACATCTCCCAAATTTCAAAACATTCGGTTTTGTAGTTCCTGATTAAATAAATAAAATAAATTCACGCAATGATAAATCACAAGTATTGACTGATCAATTGATCATACTTTGCATATTCCAGATTGGAGACTTAAACCCCGGTAACAATGTTCTAGTCAACTGTTGTGATAAATACCGTCGTGAGTAAAAAATTTTGGTCCTCAGTGTAATTTTTTTACACAAAATTAAATGGCAGATACTGACACTGACGACCAGAATTTTTTGCTCGCGACGGTATTAATAAAAATCATCTTGTTTGTCAATCACAGTAATCATGTTAAGTCAATGCGAGGCAAATTTTTAATCAAGCAAGGAGACAGAAAATAATTATTTCATACGAATATTAATAATATGAAAATAAAATATTGTGTTTCGTTAGGAGTTTAAGTGACATTATAGTTATGATTCGTACAGAATTAATTGTTTATATTCCTCACATGGAGTATCATTTAAATTACTAATAAAATAAATATCTGTTATTCTTACAGACAAAATAAAAGTAAGGTTTTTAAATATTAGCATTGGTTTTTGTATGGAACTGTATAAATGTAAGTATATAACTCGTATCTAATTGGGATGTTTCTGTAACGGTTCATTGTTAACGGTTTTTATCTTTGTTCAGTAATAATGTTTATTCTTTATTGTTAAAAAATTTCGTAAAGTTTTTCACATCGATTTTCCTCTTCTTTAAGGCATCACGATTACTAAGAATAGGAAGTCAGGATGTCTTTTTCAATAACAATTTTTTTATAATTTTTTTTGTAAGTTATTGGGAAAACAGTTTTAATATAACGATATTACTGATACATAAGCAATGTTACATTTGAAGGTACATTTCGATTAAGATTTTGATAAACCAATTTTCGATTAACACTACGGATTGGTCAAGGGAACGTTAATTTCTTCCTGAAATTTCTAAAAAGTTTATCATCTATTAACCTAGACACAGTAAATAATAAAACTTGTTAGTTAGTTAGTTTAAATAATTCGTAAATGTAAAATCTAAACATATTCAGTTTTTTATTAATCGAATTATAACGAGATTGCTTGTTTCTTGAGAAGTCTTTAACATGTCAACGACAGATCACAGACACACAAAAACGACAAACTTGTGTTTTAATTACGTAAAATGAACTTTTCTTTTGAAAAGTATATAGTGTAAGTTTGCCATGAACAGATTGTTTTGAAATTGTCAAAAATAATAATTTGTCTACAGTTGGTCGATTAATATTCCGCTAAACAAAGTTAATTTAACTATTTTAAAAATGCACGTAAAATATTGTTTTTGATACAAAATTTAAATGTGGAACAGAAGTAAGATACCGCAAGTTTAAATACCATATGTCCATTTCAGGCAAATTCTTAAGACTTACTAACAACAACACTACAAAAGCATGTATATTTTGATTACTTATTCGCAACATAACGTTGTAGCTTAGTAATTCCAATGTTTTTGTTTTTGTTAACTCTGTTTAAAAAGTAAAGTTTGGCATATCATCAAATTTTTATTTAAACTTCTTTTGTAAATATGTGCAATTTGTAAAATTAGTTTCTTATTGGAGCATGTTTTATGGGTTAAGAAAATTTAAAAATTTTATAACTGTTGAGTAGATGTCTTAGAGAAAACTGGTTATGAAATTATACTCTAGCATACAACTTAACTTTACAGAAAGAGTCGAGAAGTATTTTTAGTAAGCGACCATCAGGTTACATCTAGAATAAATTAACATACTATGTATAAAAATAACATATACATAATAATAAATGTGAACAATTATCCTAACCATTAAGTAACGAAACGAAATTTTTGAAACTTGTTTCGCTTGTTTAAACAGGACATACCACGAGAGCATGCAAACAGTGATTTACATTACTTTTTTAAGGTATGTTGAAGTTAAAATTTGAAAATATCTGAAGAAAACTGCCCTGTTACTTTTAAAGCAATGAAATTCTGGTTTGACGAATGAAATCGATCCCGACATTTCTGAAAATGAATAATAGGGCATGCATTACGTACATTGTAATAAATAGTCTTATGTCTATTCGAAAAATGTTAGTCGTATAGATCAACATTAAATG